TAACTCTTCCCAAAACACAAACATGGCTGTGGCATTACAACATTTATGTGAACGAGTACTTGAGACACAGAAGCAGGGAAAGGTAGAGCACTATGTGCAATCCTGCTCCTTTACAGGGAAAATAATAAACTCTCTTGTTCTCTCTTTGAATTTGTTCTGGACCACCTTCCATAAATGCCGATACAATACCTGAAGCAATGCTTGCCTGCCCCACAAAAACTTACTACACATCCAAGTACATACATTTTAATCTGATCAGCTTGAGAACTAGACAGCTTTTAAGATTTCACTTTCTGTAAGCTTCTGTACTAAAAAAAAAATAATAAAAATATGGAAAATAGAAGTTAATTTTGTTCAGAATGTTCCCTGCATTTGAACAAATTTCTTTTTTCCTTCAGGCAGACAAAGGCCCTTTTTCTAAAATGGAAAAAGATATCATGAGAAAAACATGCCAATACACACACATCACAACCTGTATTACACGGATGAATCACTCCAAGCCTGTTAAGCACAAGCTGCTAAAACGCGTTTTACGATGACTACTCCGGTCCACGCTAAGGACATTCAAGTCCCTGACATGGAGTAGCAAAAACCCCACCCATAGGCAGAAAGGCCCAGGCCACGCTGCTGAGCGGCTCCGGGCGCCGGCAAAGCTCCACTGTAGGCTCGGCCTCGTCCCGCCCGCGAGCGGGCTCCTCTCGCCCGCCAGAAGGGGCTCTCAAGCGTCCCGGGGGAGAGAGAAAGCAAAAGGCCCCCGCCACTCTCCCGCCAGTACCTCCCTGAGACCGCGCTCCCGTTCCCCGCCGCCACCAGCCGGACGCCTCCTCCCCGAGGGCCGCGAAAGGCGAGAGACCGCCTCCGCCTGCCACGACCGAGCGTGCGGAAGCGCGACACAGGAGTCCGACCCGGCCCGGCCGCGCCTCCTCTCACCGCCGCCGCACTCCCTCCCCTCTCGACCCCCGAAGCCCCTCACTCCTCACCGCTTCTCTGCGAAGCAGGAATCGCGTCCGGAGCGCCGCCGCGGCCCCTCCGCGCGGCGTAGGCCGGGGATGGAGCAGGAGGACGCCGCTCGGCCGCCTGGGAGGCCCCGGGGCGCCACTAGGCCTCGAACACACCGCACCGAGCCGCCTCCACCGCGCTGCGTGGGGTCATGTGACCCGCCCCTTCCGCCAACGCCCCGACATGCACCGCGCAGCACCACCATAGAGATGGCTGTGCTAGAGCGCCCTCCCTCTCAGCAACGCAGCACTAATACACGCCACCATAGAGTAGCAACGGCTAGAAGGGCAGAGGAAAGGGCTCCTGGGTTGCCATCTTTGCTGTGGGCAGGTGGTGAGGCGCCCTCGCCCAGCCCCGGGCGTCGCCATCTTAAGGTCAGGCAGTGCCGCACGGGGCTGTTGTGGGCGCAGGAAGTCTCCCACTGCGAGCCTGGTACTAGCCCCTCGCACGGCTGCTGGCAGGTGTTTCTCACTGCCTGCGGTGCCGTTCCCGCTGCCGCGCTCTGGGCCCTGGCTTAGCTGCGGCTGTGGTAGGCGCCTGCGGTACCCGCGGGGAAATTCCTCTGTTGCTTTTATCAGGAGGGAACGCGAGTTGTGACAGACTGGAAAACTAAAACAAAAAGCATTTTTAGGGGCAGTAGACATAAAGATGTAGAATTATAGAATGGTTTGGGTTGGAAGAGACTTTCAAAGATTATCTGGCTCACCTCCCCCCTGCCATGGGCAGTGACACCTTCCACTAGACCAGGCTCCTCCAAGCCCTGTCCAACCTGGCCTTTGCCAGGGATGGGGAAGCCTCAGCTTCTCTGGGCAAACTGTGCCAGGGCCTCACCACCCTCATCTTTAAAAAAAAAAAAAAAATAAATTCTAGTTTAAATCTACCCTTAGTTTAAAACCTGTACTATTGCTACAGGCCCTGCTAAAAAGTCTGTTACCATCTTTCTTACTAAGCCCCCTTTAGGTACTGGAAGACTGTTAGAAGGCCTTCCTGGAGCCTTATCTTCTCCAGGCTGAGCAAGCCCAGCTCTCTGGGCCCATCTCCAGAACAGAGGTGCTCCAGCCTCCGATCATCATTGTACCCTCCTTTGGACAAGCAGGTCTATCTCCTCCTTGTGTTGGGGGCCCCAGAGCTGAATGCAGTACTGCAGGTGGAGTCTCACAACAGCAGAGTAGAGGGGCTGCTGGTCATGCTTCTTGTGATGCAGCCCAGGATGTGGTTGGCTTTAATGGAAGGCTGTATCTCTGCTAAAAAAAAAAAAAACAACAAACAACAAAACAACACCTCTGTGGATTTAAAGAGCAAAAAGAGCAAGCACCAGTATCTTAGGCAGCCATGTGCTCAACAAAAAGATAAAACTGTGCTGTGAAGCAGTTGGGCATAGCCGTGGTCCACAACTGGTAGTTTCCCTGACCTACCAGCATTTAGGTTACGTTAAGACAGTTTAAAATGTACAATTCCCCCCAACATTACACGTGAGACAGTGATTTATTACAATGATGGCAAGCAACTGCAAATGGAAAAAGGAAGTAAATGGAAATGGAAGGAAGGTGATCTTATAGGTGATTAAGAGATAGACCACAGCATGAGCATCTGTGCAGAAGGCTGTTGAAAACATTTTGGATCAGCCAGGCAAAAAACAAACAAGCAAACTTTAGTACCTTTATATTACGTTTTCCACTGTTTATAAACACTGTTTAGGGAAAAGTGCTCAAAAGAGGAGAGTGCAATGACAAACAATCCCCTCCACCTGTTATGGCAAGGAAAACATTTGGAGCAGACACTATCAGATTCTTTAGTACAAAGCAGATGTACTCTGTCTGACACCATAACTTGCTACTGAATAGTCAACAACTGAGCTGGAACTAAGGTCCTGTTCATCACCTTGCTTTACCAGATGATGTGCAAATTTAAGTATTTTAGCAGTAGCAAATTCAGGAAATACCTCAAGATTGATTGCAATTCCTTCTCCCATCAGAAACAGCATTTTTATATTCTATTGATTACAACTTGTGCCATGCAGCCTGCGTATCTCCCTTCAACTAATGCAAATTTAGTAACTGCAATAATGACTACTGTTAATACTTCAAATAATTCATTAACATGCTGAGGTAGGTAAAAAAACTCGTTTTGCAGCTTGCAGGAAAACTAAGGAAAGGGGAAAGCCTATAAAAAGAATCTTCTGAGTTTCCTGTTTCTATGTTGTCTCAGAGTGAAACTCTTACCTGCCTGAAAAAGAGGTGAGAAAGCCAAACTCAGTTGTGCTGCTGTAACAAGCTTTTACTTACAGGAAACATTGCAAAGGCTTTTTTAATTTAGATATTAATCTGTTTTGCTTAGCCAAAGAAGTAGACCATTCTGCATTTATTCTCCTTGTACAAATTGTGAACATCAGCCTCCAGTATCCTTTCTAACCATAAAGAACAGCATTAGTATAATCTAGTAAAACCAGCTATTTCCACATCTCTACTCTTTCTGCTATTGGATGTTAGAATTGTGTACCTCTAAACCTATCCATTTTATCTGTTTACCCTTCAGTTGTGAAACTGAGATCCCTCCCCAGATACTGATTATAGTTCACTTTATTCATTTCCTCGCTGTGGACTCCAGAGCTTCATGCTCAAAGCCAATCAAAAAGAGTGCAGTAGGTGGCTTTTAATATTAGGGCTAAAATTAAGGAAGGTGCTTTGTATGTCTGCGCACTATTTTGCATTTCTTAAAATTTTTGGTTCAGCAAAAGTTTATTCCTGTACATGTCAGTCCATTTAGTTAATCTTTTTTATTGATCTTCTCTGCAAAATAACTAAGTGAAAATACATTATCATAATAGTATGAAAGAGAGCAGGGAAGACAGGTACTGTGCCAGTCTTCAATCATTCATCATCACTAAACTGTATAGAGGAGAAATGGATAAGCCATGTACATGCCAAGTAACACAACTGCATACAGTAGAATCTAGTAGAACAAAGGTACTTCAGCAGTACGCTTGAATTCTGACAGGGCCTCAGTCACTCTTGGTGTTGGGAACTTCACTGATGCCTCATTTTCGTGGTAATTGGACCTGCTGACTCAGTTTTGAGAAATGATGATAGCTCACCTTTCATGATGATCACCTTAAATGATGATAGCTTACAGAAGGTAAACCCACAATCACTGCTGCCTACATGGATATCCAGTTGTGTAATTTGGCTCTCTCTTGAAATTGCATGCAACCAAACCAGGGGACCAAACCACAGGCCTATCTATGGTTACAGAATCATAGAATGAGACCTTAAAGCTCATCCAGTTTCAACCCTCTGCCATGGGCAGGGACACCTTCCACTAGATCAGGTTGTTCCAAGCCCTGTCCAAACTGGTCTTGAACACTGCCAGGGATGGGGCAGCCACAGCTTCTCTGGGCACACTGTGCCAGTGCCTCACCATCCTCACAGGGAAGAATTTCTTTCTTCCCTGACTCTTCCCTGTCAGCTTAAAGCCATTCCCCCTTGTAAAAAGTCTTTCTCCAGATTTCTTGTAGGTCCCCTTTATGTGTTTGAACATGATCAACATGTAAAGTCCACAAAGTGAAACAGCGTATATTCTTCTCCCAGAGAGGTAGCCATTAGCATCTGATCCAAGCATCCAGCCAAAAAAAATCTGGTTACTTTAGAAAAGAAATTGTTTGCGGACTGGCTGTGCTACAACAAAAATATTTTGAATGCTACTTAAGTCACACGTATACATTTGTATACACACACAGCCAATGAAAAATAACTTGTCCTTTTCTTGTAGCCCCCTGCCCTTTCCAGCCAGTACCATGACCCAGGATCTCACTGGAGAATTGCTGGCTGAGGTTACTTCCTCACCATGGGGCTTCTTTGACCATCCCTGTCCACATCCTCCACCTGTCCCCACAGTTCCAGGCTCTGACCATGAAGACTGTCATTTTTTGGCAGGTGCATCTCTCCATTTCAGATCTGCTAGGGCTGGGGGCAGCCTCTTGGTCTCTTTCCAGGCGGTGAAGGAACTAGCTCACTACGAGTTGCACCCCTCACACCACTGCTGGGGGCTTCAGGGAAGCGCGGCAGAGCCGTCCAGCGTCACCAAGAACCCGTGGGGCAGGGGACAAAGGTAAAGCAAAGGGGAAAGGAGAGACCTCGGGACATGGCGAGGGCCCGGAGCTCCGCGCGTCCCTGCGGCCTCCCTCAGGGGCGGGAGCGGCGCACACCGCCATCCGCCCCGCAGCGCCCAGGGAGCCGCAACCACCCTCCGCTAGTGTTTCGCTCTGCTCCGGGACTCACACGCCGGGCCCCGCCGCCCCTTCCCACCCCGGAACTACAGCTCCCGGCGGGCGCCACGGCAGAGCGGCTCTCCGTGAGGCAGCACCGGGCTCCCGGACTACAGCTCCCAGCGTGCCGCCGCAGCCTTCCCGTCTCCGCGGTGAGAAAATAACCCTGAAGTTCCCCGCGATCAGCTGATCCCGGCTGACAACGAGGGGAGCGGGCGGAGGGGCGCGGGTACTGCCCGCTCCTGCCCAGTCCTGCCGGGAGCTTCGCCTGCATGGTCGGGCCCCCGCCCCGGCCGCTCCGGGAGGAGACCTGGGACACCCCCCCCCCCAACCCCAGTAGCGGAGGGGACGGCGGGGGGGAGGAGGAAGCGGCGGCAGGGACCCGACTCCTTAGTCACCGGGTGCCGGCGGGAGGAAGGGGAAGCGGGGAGGCCGCCGGCTTGTAAACAATAGCCCCGTGCCGCGCCGCCTTTGTTCCCGGTCCCCGCCGCAGCTCCCCTCCCGCTGCCTCCACTCAGCAGGAGGAGACCGGGGGGCTTCCTCCTGCCTTCCGGGCCGCCGGTGAAGAATAATCGGGTGCCGCGCTGGGCGCAGCCTCAGGTAGGTGCGGGCACGGGAGCGGGGCACCGGCATTGCGTAAGCACGATGCGGCCCGAGCCACAAGTGCCGCGGGCCAGCGCGGCCGGTCATCGCCGGGTGTGTGGAGTGGCTGGGGCCAGCCCGCTGCGAGAGCGACTCCGTGCAGGCTGCGGAGGGGTGAGGGAGGCGGCCGAGGGCCCCGCGCAGCCCCACGGCAGCAGGTCTAGACAAAGACGGGCGTGCGGGTGCGCGGCTGGCCCTTGGGGCGCCAGTCCCGGGGACTGCGAGGGGAACAGAGGGGGAGAGGATCCGTTAGCCCGGCCGCGGTGGCGATCGCTATCTAGCGTCGCTAGAAGAGGCGCACAAAGAGAGCGGATTTTTGTTTATCTAGCGAAGCACATCAGGAAATTCCCAGCAAATAAATGCTGTGAACTCTGAAGGAGGAGCTTAGCCGGGGAGTGAAAGCAGAGAATTTTCTAGTATTGACACAGTCCTCTGGTTGTGTGTACACGTATATGCACTTGTGCATTTCTAATGTTTTATTTTGCCTCTGTGTCGCCAGCTGTCTTCCTCCGATCCCTGCTTCAGGGGTGTACTTGTCCTGTGTGTTGAAGTACACCAGGCTGGGTGTTTTTCTTGTTGCTGAAAACACACTATATAGTTAAGTACAAAAAGAATGTATACCAGCATTTGGGTATAACAATACATGAAGCCAGCCACATTGTTTAAGTTTATTTTGGAGAAAGAAAACTTCATCTGTGCCTGACAAGACTTTTCCTGGAAGGTAGGTCAGTGTACGAATCTTAAAGAAACATGTGTTAATTATTTAAAATAAAGTACAGACATCATTCCTGTTGTGTTTCTTTCCCCTGTGAAAGTACTAAATTTGCAACTGACTTTTACACCTATTATTGTTCAGAACAGAAACAAGAGGGGAAAAAACATTGCTTTAAAAGAATTTGAAGATGAGTGCTCATACACAAACTGTAGAGAAAGGACAGAACACGACACTCCTGTGCCAGGAAAGCTATGTTTGCAGTGGGACAGATGAAGCAATCTTTGAGTGTGATGAGTGCAGGAGCCTACAGTGCCAGCGTTGTGAAGAAGAGCTGCATCAACCGGAAAAGTTACGGAACCACGAACGGACCCGTATAAGACCTGGCCATGTCCCATTCTGTGACTTCTGCAAAGGCGCCAATGGGAACATAATGCATGCCAGTATGGCAAGACAGATAGCAGCAGTGAGGTGCCAGGTGTGCAAAATCAACCTCTGCGTGGAGTGTCAGAAGAGAACACATGCTGGGGGGAACAAAAGGAAGCACCCTGTCACCATCTACCATGCTGGCAAAGCCCAAGAGCATGAAGAGGAAGAGGTGATGGATGAGGAGACCAAGAGAAGGAAGATGACAGAGAAAGTTGTGAGTTTTCTCTTAGTGGATGAAACTGAGGAGATTCAGGTAAGAACTTCTGTGGTTGAACAGGCAAGATCCTTTAGTGTCTGCCTTAGTTTCACAGGCTGCTGTGATGCGTGATTGATACTTGAAGTGTAACTGGCAGCAACAGTAACAAAATGAGGACAGCCAGTTAAGTGGCACTAAGTATCTTGGCCTAAAAAGACACAGTGCCTTGGAGCAGCCCTGCTTATGAGTTTCTCAGAAGGTCAAGTTCATTAAAACTTGATGTGTGGCAAGAGCCTCTTCTAAGAGCTTGGTAAGCAAAGCTAGTGAAAGAATTGACTCTGTCCTGAGACACACACAACTAAGATAAGAGCTGTCTGTGCAGGATGCTAATCATTCCTGAACGAAACTGAAACTGAGAGTATTGCAGTAGGTATCCTGCAAATGGGAGTGCTGGCAGCCAATCTCCTGCCATATGACTGGGAATGGGCACTGCACCAACCAGTGCTAATGCAAGCCTACAGCCCCCTGCTGCCCTCCTCTAGCATTACTAAATCCATCTGGTTTTCAGGAATAGGAGAAAGTAAAAGTAAGGGTCTGAAGTGTGCCATTCAAGTCCTGCAGACACCATGGTTAAGCTATTTTGCTTGTCTCAAATATTACTCCATTTTAGCCCCTTGCTAAACAAAGGGGAAATTTGCCATCAATTTGGGGTTGGCTTGCTGGTAATAATGGTAGAAATACAGTTGTCTTAACAAGGGCTTCTCAGGAGGAATTATTTTAGAGAGTCCAGCATTCAGTATATGCAGTTAAGGAACTCTTGAGTTGGTCCTTGCATTTGGTGGGTGCAAGCACTTTACAATGTAAAAATACTTTACAGATGTAAAAAAAGCAACATGAAAGTCACAGAGCAGGTTAGTTACACGCCTAAAAATTCAGCTTCATCTTCTGGCTTCCAGGTTTGCATTGTTCATGTTAAACCTTGCTCAGAAGACACTGAGAGAAAATGTGTAGTCACCTGAAGACTCAATATGTGGTTGCTCTAATTTAATATTCATGCTACCAGCAGTAAAAAAACGTGATGATATTCTGATTTTTGGTTGATTAGTTATTTGTATGCATTGTAGTAACAGTCAGCATGTCTGTCGTGCCTTGCAAGCAAATGTGACTTAAGCATCTTGTATTTATTCTGTACTATACAGAAATGCATATGTACGTTATATAATATATATACTAGTGTAATTAACTGTGTTATAGAATAGATGCAGGATAACTTGTGTGACATTTTAGTTCAGGTGTACTGACTGCCAAATTCTCATGGCTTTTGGAGGGGAAAGGAAGGAAAAGATGATAGACCTTATGATGCACTGACACAGAAAACACTATGCAGGATACTAGTGACTTGAAACTGAATGATTGAGTTTCATGTGTAGTAGCAGTCCTAAGTTTGTATGCCTCCCCTAAGCACACGCACGTGTCTTTAGAGTGTGTGGCAGATGTGACTACTGCTGTAAGATGCAGACTTTGGAATAATATTCATCTAGTCTCTGGAGCAATATCTGAAATGCCTTAGAGCAGGGCTGTCCTGAAAACCTGCTCACAAGCTTTGGCTGTGTGTGATTGTGCTGGTTTAAGTTATATTTATGAGTCTGTAAGCCTTGTTGAGGTAGACTTTTGCCTGCCCCATGCAAGCAAGTGCATGGCTATTTAAATGTCATGAGCAATAAAGCCAACTTCCTTATTGGGACAGCAATGGTCTTTTATCAGATTGTAGCAATTTGATCAGAACAGGGTTGAAAAAGCTCTCCAAAAATGAACTTGCCTCTGTATCAAGAGGCTGAATCAGAGCTCTTCCATCTGGAGTGATCTTCTCTTCCTCACAGCTGAATACTTCTGTGACATCTCACAGCCAGTATTGAAGCAGTTTGAGAGTTTTTAATTAAAATATTTTCTAGGAGCTGGAACTTGAAGAGTGCTTGTTATTGCAGTGATGTTTCTGCTGGTGAGCATGAGGACCTTTATTTAGAGAGGGCTGTCAGATGACTAGCTAGCTCTGAAGTCATCATCAGCTCTTGATAATGTTGAACAGCCAGTTTAGCTATAGGAAAGTGATCATCAGTCTTTTCTTCTGTGCTTGTCCTTAGCAAGATTATTGCTCATTACTTGATGCATATATGTTTACATTACTGATGTATATATGTTTACAAACCACTAACTTCAAAGTGATTCAATGAGGTGGGAACACGAGGCAAAGATTTCTTTTTCCTTTGAAACTTGGGAGTTGTTAAGCTTAAGTGGTTATGTTTCATCTCATTTGTTCGTGTTGGCTTCTTGGAGGTGGTAGCTCTGAAACTGAAGGACATTTATAGTGTGTAAGTAATGACCAAGCTAGTTCCAGATGCAGAAACAATGTACCTTAACCCGTAATTCACTGTGAGGGTGGTGAGGCACTGGCACAGGTTGCCCAGAAAAGCTGGGCTGCCCCATTCCTGACAGTGTTCAAGGCCGGGTTGGATGGGACTTTGAGCAACCTGGTCTAGTGGAAGGTTTCTCTGCCTGTGGCAGGGGGTTGGAACTGGATGATCTTTAAGGTCCCTTATAACCCAAACCGTTCAACGATTCTATAAGGAGCTGTGCCTGAACAAATTAGTTTAGCTGAGAGGTGGAGATTCTCTCCTTGGGCTCAGCACTGCGCTAATACAGTTATGATAATGATTCTGAGATTTGCATAATTGTCATTGTGCTGTGTTGCACAGATAGGCTGGCCTGTTCAAAGCTTTTTGCACTTTGCAGACATAGCCATAAGCTCAGAAAGCTGAGGTCTTCTTGGGCCTATTTCAAATCCACTTAGTCAGGAAAGGTCCCATTTTAAAGTAACACTTGTGAAGCAGTTGTTAGTAGAGAACTGATGGTAGTTTAAGTTCCTATCTGTGAAATGCAAACTTCTCAGTGATGTTCATCATGGGAGCACTGTATTTGAGCGCTTCAAAAAAAGGTTGGTTATCTCACGTTAAGAAAATGCTATTAAATGTTAAATCCAAGCTCATACTGCAAGTCTGTGGAAGAACCAGAGAGAGAGGTTGTTCCTCATGGGATACAACCCCAACTTAGACCCTTTTTCCCAGACTGTATTACGCAGTTTCTCTTTATACAGTATTAAACTTTTAGTCTTATCTATTGCATATCTGAAGCTGAGACTTCAATCAGTTTGCTCTTGATAATTTCAACATCTGTTTGTTACCTGGCTCTGGCATAGCCTGTCTCTTTGCTCATCTCAGAATCGTATTATGGGGATTACTTCCTCAGTCAATTGCTTCAGTCTTGTCACTGCTCTTATTACATCTTCCACATCTCTTCTTTGCCATGTTAGACCCGTGCTATGTGCCTTCTTTTTTTATGTGTGTAAGTCCCCCAACTGAATCTCCTGATCTATTCTGTCAAGATGTCAGCTTTCCTTTCTTACCTCTAACTGAATTTTCAAACAAGCATAATTGCGCTGTCACTAGTGCTGTCCGTTGCACACAGGAGGCACTTCCCTTAGGAACTTACAGTCAATTCATTGTTCTTTTTAAAAAGTCCCCTATACTTGTAGATCATGTTAAGAAAACCACAGCAAAATACAACAATAAAAAAGTGACTTGGGTTAGGATAGTTATTTCAAGTCCTTAGACTGTCTCACTGTCTCTTGAACTTTTCCAGTCATCTGTATTGATCTTTTTCTCCTGTACTTATGTTTATGCAGTTTCTGGAACAAGTATCCATTTTTGCATTGTCTTTTTACAACACCTTTGTGATAGCATAAAGCAGAATTACATATCAGTTGTACAGTGAACTCTATTTACTACTACTTCTGAAGTAGGGGAGAAGAAATGCTAGCAACGCATAAAACCAATTTGGTATTTTTATCTTGGGGAGCAGATGTTAAAGAGTTCTTACCACAGGATCAGAACTTGGTTGTAGAGTCACTGGTGGTTTCTATGATAACATTTGTCCAAAGCCCTAATTAAGGACTCAGCACATGTATTTAATAGAAGCAGAGAAAGTGTTTCATTGACCCCCAAAGATAGGGGACATGCTTGATTGCTATTAGTCTGCCTTAAAAAGTTCACTGGTCCTTGACCAGAAATCAGCTCTGTCACAAGAAATTACCCAAACTCTGGGCTGCAAAGAAAAATAAAAGGCACTGACTTTGTAGCCTGTTTTAGTAAGGAGACAGAAGGAAAAGAAAGATTTTCCTCTAGCTAGTCACAAAAATAATATCCTCAGCAGTGTAATTTTATGTAGTAGAAAGGAGCACATATTTACTGCTAGGCCTCCCATGAGACATCCACTATGAGCTCCCTTTCTTCAGGCAGCAGGGTCTATTTTTGTTTTTTTTTTTTTCCAATAGATAGCTCAGTTTCCTAAATGTAGCCTTATTTCTAAGGTTCTTTTTTATTCCTCCTAGCAGGGCTAGACTCCTAAAGGATTAACTGTTTCCCTGAGGAAATACTGATCAGGATCTATATAATGTTTTGCAGGCAGTTTAGATGACACAGAATGACCCATAGGCCTTATTTAAATGCAGACCATTTTATACAATTGTTAAATACCCAGCTTCTAACATCCTAACAGTCTATGTGTCCTCTTCTGTCCCCTCTTATTAAAAAGTTACATGGTTAACTCCTTAGGGATGCTAGCAGCTTTGCTTTTCTCACCTCCACCGTAAACCTGTTGATTTTCCGTTAGTACCTACTGAGTTGAGGTAGTCCAGGGATGAAAGAATGGAGAGTCACTAAGAGTGCTTTTTCTAGTCAAATATTCTTTGTCAGTCAATGCAAGCTAATGTATGTCTCTTTTCCTAAGAGAAGTTCATAATCTCTTAGCTCTTTTAGCTTGCCTCTATGTTAGAAAATCATTTGTCTAGCAAATAGTACTAGTTCCTATGACACCCTTACTTGACTTGCTTTTGGGGGAATGTTTGATGTTCTTGTGCTTTAGGGTAGCACAGTCAGCTGTGTTTCTGGGAATTTTAGTCCATATCCTGTAAACTGAAGAGTCACAGCTGGTATATTTGTCAT